TCGGGAAGTTAGATGAATCTTGTAGCAGTTCTTTTGGTGCGAAGAAGTCGGCTTGTGATACGGGCTGTGCATTGTACCGCTCTTCCCAATCTTGGAGAACGTCACGAGCTGTAGGCTGCTTTTTGGGCTTCTTGAACATCTCCGGGTCGAATATCTCCTCGTCCGCATAGTCTTGCGCGATCTGGCTTGGCTCGATGTGCTTCACGCTGGGCGCTACTGGCGTTACTATCTGACCTTTGTCATGAGACGAGGAAATTGCCGCGCTTGTGATAGCTGCTGCCGCTGCTGCTGCGGAAGCTACCGCTGCTGTGTCGCGCCATGTGCTGGGATGAACAATATCCTTCTCTCGTTCCTCAAGTTCGTGCTCTTTGCGCCGGACGTCGCTTGCAACCGAGGATCCCGTGGCCTGATGCTCTAGATGTCGCGGCGAGTCTCCGTTCCCAAAGTGGCGGCGTTTCATATCTTCCTGAATTTCAGCTTCGCGGCGCTCAGCCTCACGCCGTTCAATCCGCATCTGCTCAAGCTCACGTTCTATATCGATCTTCCGCTGAGCTTCAACGCGCGCTTCCCCCTCGCGGCGCCTTTGCTCGTCAGCTTCCCTAGCTTCCCGAGCAGCTTGCTCAGCGCGTTCACGACGACGGTCAGCCTCGTACTGCTCGGCCTGAATCCTTGCCTGGCGTTCCGCTTCGGACTTGCGAGCCTCCTCTTCACGCCGACGACGAGCAGCTTCCTCAGCCTCAATCCTGGCTATCCGCTCCGCTTCATACCTGCGAGCTTCCTCTTCTCGCCGACGACGAGCAGCTTCCTCAGCCTCGATCCTGGCTACTCGTTCCACTTCAGCAGACCTCCGAGCCTCCATCTCTCGACGCTCCTGCTCCTGACGGCGCTCCGCCTCATACCTACGAGCTTGCTCCTCTCGCTCGTGTCTCTCTCGACGGCGGCGCTCCTCATCATCCCGACGAGCTTCTTCCTCGCGTCGCTCTCGCTCAGAGCGACGGCGATCTGCATTGTCTTCTCGATCGCGAAGCTTCTTCTCCTCACGGGCTTCTCGTCTAGCCTGCTCCTCAGTGAGCTCGAATCGGACGTTGCTGGGAGGGTCGATGGATTGGCGGTCTCTGCTTTTAGAAGCAGATATGGCGGCCGCTCCGAGGGCAGCAGAACCTGCCGCGATGGCGGCATTCCGCTTCCAAGAGGATGATTGGACGGGCGAAGAGTTGCTGCGCCGTGGGAGAGGAGGGGGAGCGGTTTGATGAGAGGATTCAACGAAGCCTGCCTGATACAAAGGGGGGTACGAAGATTGAGGTGGGGCACTGGAGAACACGGGTGGGCCCGTAGGAGCAACGTATCCGGGCTGTGGCGGAGCTTGCGTGGTATAGATAGCGCCGGGGACTTGATGCACCGGTTGCGGGTGCTGGATACTAATGTCATCTGGGCGTGAAGTAACAAATGGCTGAGGCGTCGGGACGGAACTCGTTCGTCTGGCATCGAAGGTCGTTGCATCGGTCTGCACAGGATATACCGACTGAAGAGTGGGCGCGCTACTCGCGCTACTGTCATGTCGACTGATGCTGGCTGCAAGTCCGGCTCCTGCAGCGGCACCGGCGATAGCTGGAGCAATGTGTGATGTATTTGCCGCAGCTTTGTGAAGGCTGTCGGATGATGGTTTCTTCTTCTGTTTCTTACTGCCCCAACGCCATCCCCATTTGCTGGTACCTGAGCTATTCGACACTAACGATTCGGTGCTCTTTCCGCTCTTCCAGTCGTAGTCACCGTAGGCCAACCCGGAACTCACGCTGGCCGAACTGGACGTATCATCTTCTGGGAGGGACTCCCAACCGTCATCTTCATCGCTGGAACTTCGTGATGTGCGTCGAGAACTTCGGCGCCCGTCTCGTCGTTTGCTGTTCTCACGGGCGGCTACAAGTTCAACCCGGCTCTTGCCATGTCTCGAACGCCCGGCTTGAGTCACACCAATGGCAGTCATGGTTGCCCCCAAGCCAATCAGCGTGGCATTCAACTTCTCGTCGGACGTTTTTCTCTGAGGTCGCTTTCGAGGCTTGACATAGCCAGCGCCGAAGGCAAGTCCCGAATCCGAAGATGACGAGGAGGAATTACCGAAGTGGAAGAAGCCCTTCTTCTTCTTGGAATGGGAGGATGGCTTGCGTCGTCTCTTCTCCTTGGGAGGAGGAGCACTGAAGAAACCTGCAAGGATTCCTGACTGCGGCTTCTGGTTCTGCGAGATATCGATAAAGGATCCTGAAGCAATGGAACTTCGAGATGGCTTGTGCTTGACTGAATGGTGCGGCTTAGAATGACGGCCTTCATTATCGCTCGAATCGCGTCGGTGGTGTACAAAGGCCTTCTTGGGAGAGGCGGAACGGCTGCGGGTCCGGTGCTTCTTGCGGGAAGCACTGACTGCGGATGCTGCCAAACCCGCTCCTACAGCCGCGCCCAAAATTCCTGATCTCCCATCTGATGAGCTAGACTGTGACCGCGAGTGGGACCGATGCCTAACATCCTTGTATTTCTTGCCGCCGCCAGTGACGCCAATGGACAGCGACGACATTCGGTCCCTTGAACGGCTTCTCATGCGATTTTCATATCTGCTAGAAGAGTACCGCTTGCGCTCCCGGGAGCGGCTGCGGCTTCTTCGTGATGCGGATGAACGAGCCTCCCGTCCAGACTTTATGCTATAGGTATCGTCAAAATCGTTGCGGCTCTGACTCAAGAGAGCTTTTCCGGCAGCAGCTAAACCAACTCCGCCCAGGCCAGCCGCAAGCCAGCCTTTGCTACTACTTTTCCGCTTGTCATCTCCTGATAAGGATTGACGTGACGTTTTCTCGGACAGGCCATAGCGTGACTGCTTCTCTATGCCCGAACGACGGAACTCGCCAGATCGCTTCCGGCCGTAGTGGTGCTTTCGAGGAGCATCCATGGGCGAAGAACGGGGATCGAAACAACCGCGGCAAACACCGATGTACTCGGTATATTCTTCCATCTTGCGTACATCTTCATAGTCCTTCCACCATTCAACAAGCTTAGTCACCGGTCCCTTTTGCTCGCGCATCTGCACCATGCCACCGGAAACAAAGGGGCTAGAAGAAGAGCCGTTAGCCGCATGAGGGTCGCCAGGAAAAGCACCTGGCATAGGTGAATGTTGATGATGCGAATGATGGTGATGTAAGCCATATGCCGTCAGCCCAGCGGCCCCGGCTGCATAGAGTCCTGCATGAGAAGACTCGGATGACTGTTTCCCCGGTTTACCAGGCCGTGGAGGTTTCGGAGGAGGATTCTCGTCCATCGCTTCAGAGTAGGTAGGGACTTGGCTGTCACCTGTAGCCGCGATGGAGACGCTGTCGCCAGAATGCTGTGGATATGGGGCTGATCCCGCGTAACTGGTACCATATCCCGAAGGATATTGGTTGGCCGGGTTCGGCGTTGAAGAACCATGACCGAGTGCATAACCTAACGCAGCGCCGCCTGCCAAGGCGGCCGCAGAGTTGAATGTGCCATGATTGCCAGAGACGCCGGAGCTGGGCCGTGGCGGCTTTGGGGGCGCAGAGGGTTCACTGGGTAAAGAGCCAGGCATGTCTGGTCTTGGAGGTTTTGTTGGGGCCACTTCTGCGGTACCGCCACCGTAGAATTCAGCAGCGGAGCCAGATCCAGTGTCTTGAACAGGGTTAAAGGTCGCAGACGCAGAGGTAAGATGGGGAGTGTCAGTAGGCATGATCACGGAAGGCGGCTGTGGGCGGACACCAGGCTGAGTCAAAACACTCTGCCCTTGATCCTGATAGTACTCCGCCGCGGCGCCAAACGAGCTGGTGTGAGTGAATGCAGGAACGACGGGTGGGGTATATTGCACAGGGTCTTGACCGGGGAACTGGTTCGAAATATGAGGATCCATAGCTGGAGGAGCGGTTCCAACTGGTAATGCGCCAGACATCATGGAAGCTCCAACCTGTCCAGGGAATTGAGAGAAACCTTCGCTATTGATTTGGCCGCTGAAGGATCTGCGGGGAGGTTCTGGTTCGTTCACGACCTCTCCACGATAGCCACCGACTTGGGACATGCTGGCTGACCGCTCCGAGCGACTTCTTCCTTTACGTTCGCGTTTGTCCTTCTCTTTCTTCTTACTGTTACGGTCTCTGCTGCGAGACCTTTCTCTGACGGATGATATCGAATCGTAAGTCGACCCACGCTCGTCTCCCCCACGAGCGCGGCGATCACCCCTCGAGTCGTAGTACAAGTCGTCGTTGGTATCTCGAGGACGGCGGTCACGGTCGCGCGTACCGCTAGCCGCAGTATAGTCTGATGCGCCGTCGCGCGCCGTGGCATAGGAAGACGCCACCGAGGAGGGAGCTGGAGGGTACGATTTCCGAGACGAGGAGGTTCCTGGGCGCGGTTCGCTGCCACTGCGGGTGGGCTTTCGGGAGGAGTTAGAGGAGACTATGGATTCGGCGCGTTTTGGACGCGTGCTGGACGACTCGTCCCTGCGGCGGTCGTCTCTGGATGAGCTTTCGCTCTTCCCAGTGAACCTGCTCCACATGTTGGACGCGGAGCAGGAGCCCTCGGTGGTGCCGTGCAGACTCGAAAATTATCTATGTGCGAAAGTATCGCAAGACCGGCGGAGGTGGATGCTTGGGTAAATATCGCGGAGGGAATCGTCACTTCGTCATGTCGTTACTGTACAGTACACAGGCGATGAAGAAAGCAGTCGCTTGCAATTCCGCAAATCAAAGGAAACGCGCTGAAGGCTCTTCGCGCCGGTCTATCTGTGGGAAATGATGGGCAAACGTGAGGCGTGGGAGCATCTGAGCTGAAGCGCTCGCCGGGGTGGTGGAGCAAGCCATCCAGGATCGCCTGCCAGCGCCAGCCCCCCCAGATTGACCCAATGAGCGCTGACCTCGGAAGGAGCAATCATTTGCGCAACCCACCATCAACCTGAGGGCCATCGTGGCAGTTCGATATGGATTCACTACATGCAGCGTTGGAATAATGCGATGATGTTGAGGTTCTGTTTGATCTACACCATAGTTACGCGAAGCTAGATATAGGCCTTTTAGAGCACCCCGCTGGGTGGCATTTCCGCCACCAAAATACTGGCATATTCCTTGAACCCCCACAGTTTGTCTGCTATTAGTACACTGACGTCCATTTTAAAATGCTAACCTTGCATCCTCATTCAAGCGCCAAATTATAGCCACATAGTAACTTTGGGAACCGTGAATCTTCCCTCCCTAGAACGCAGATGTGTGGTATCACGTACATATCCAGAACCCGAAACGCCTGATCAATCCCACTCCTGGATTTTCATGCGCCTAGAACTTGTAACCGGCTTTCTCCAATGCTTCTATATTCGCCCGCAGCTCTAGGATCTGTTGCCTTGCCACGGGTTCAAGCGCATTGATTTGGTCCATGGTTAGGTATTTCAGTTGCAAGTACTGTTGCCGCTGTTCGGGTGTGGCGCTGGCGAGCGCGGGATGCATAGGAGGAAGCTGCCCGTAAGTCGGATATGCCGGCTGTGCAAGCATCGAGGGCGTCGGAGTGGGCTGCGGCGCGTACCCAGGGAAGGCCGGCTGGGGTTGCGGTACAGGTGCGGCCGGCGGTGCGGCCGCAGCGGGTCTGCCTCCGGGAGCCGCCTCAATGACCTGTGCAAGCGCAGTCGCATCAACGAGATTCAGAATGAGTAAAGCCTGAAAAAGAGCATAGGCTAGCTGGGGCGCCTGAGTTAACAGCTCCACCGCCTTGGCAGGGTCTGTCATAACCAGCGACTTCATTTGTTTGAGGATGTCGAGAAGCTGCTCCGGAGGCAGCGTGGCGAGAGTTCGCGATATGGCATCAGCGCAGGTAAGACCGGTGGGCGGATCAGTTCCTGGGGGCAGAGGTGGAAGCGTCGTCGACTGCTGATGGATCGCGGCAGGTTCAGGATGGCCCGCTGGAGGCGCAGGCGGTGCGTATGTCGTAGGGGCAGAATCGCCATCGCCGTTATCATTCGACCAATCCACCCTCAGTTTACGCCCCATGATCTCGTAGTCGTTGAGATTTCGCACGGCGGAGGCTGCCGCGTCCCCGTCGGCGAACTCTGCAAAGCCAAAGCCCTTGGGCCTTCCCGTTTCCTTGTCGTGAATGAGGCGGAAGTTGAGCACATGGCCGACGCGGCTCAGTGTATCGACGATCTGTTCTTCGGATATTCCTTTCAGCGCGTTAGAGCTGATTTTGCGATTGCTGCAGGCAAGGGAGGGGAGGGCTCCGGCACTTACCGTAGGGAATATTCCCAATGAAGACGACCCTTCCGGCCTTGTCGCTGGGCGCCATGGCCGAAGAGAATTGATTTGCGCTTTTCGATGAGGTGCAAGTGTGTGGTACTTGCACTGCTGTTGCTCGAAGGCCTGTAGCGCATGAGGTGTGAACAAGCTCACGCTCGGACCAATTCACACGTGACGCTTGGCATTGGGATTCGAGCCGGGGTGAATACTCATGGAATGCTCTACCGAGAGGGCGCAATATCTGGATTTCAATGCCGGTTCGCCCTGGACAGGGTGACGGTTCTTCTGAGGCGTCCACGGGTGCACAATAAACACATGTACGGGCTGTCGCCTCTTATAAATGAACCCCTCCCCGCCGTCAAGTGCTGGATTGATGGTCTCACTAGGTACATACCCAGTAACGTGTTCCACCAACCAGCGCCCAGCCCCACCTAACGCCCGATTTGGAGATGCCCACCACCAGCAGAATTGAAGCTATAGAGCCTCATATAT